AATTCTTGCTCATTTGAAAATCGTTGAATCCATCAAGTAACTGTACAATATGAAACTACATCTTGCCCATAAGCAATAGTTAATTCATCATGAATTTTTGTACCTGTTAAACCTAATAACAAACCAGTTTTTATATATGAGCGTATGTACTGTTTTTCCATCTGAAAACAGAGATGTTCAAAAAATTCGTTGAAAATTTGCCGTAATAGACACTTGTGAAAATTCGAATTGGTATTTTAATACATAAGAGATGTCACTACTAGAATATAGGCCAGTATGATGAATAAAACCAATTAGGAAAAAATCTTAGACACCTGTTTGCGGAACCTTTTTACTATCCTACACTGAATAAAAAAGGTACGTTATCAAACTTTTGAGGTTTCGTCCTGACGTACGGAAACTTTTCATGTGTCGTGCGACTATACAGAACTTTCTTAAGGTTTAGTAGCCAATTAAGTTTCATGAACATCATAAGTAATTTTTGCCAGTCAAAAAAAGTTTCCTACGAAACCTTGAAGAGGTTTCGCATGACACCAATCTTTTTCCTTATACCATCTATACCAAGAACACATGTTCGTCAATCAGACATTGGGTTCATCTGACATCATTGGTGTGTTTCTGCATTTACAAAGACGCTACAATCTATTCTGGATATTAAACGACAGTTCCCAGACTTCATGTATCACAAATGAGCACTACCGTTCAACAAAAAACTAACGTTTTACGGCTAGATAAAGACCTTAAGATAGAGAACTAAGGTTTTAATGATAGGCATAAGGATTTAGATCAGGAAGGAGCTATTAAGGATGGGTTTATAGGTTAGATTTAGCAATAAAGAGATGAACGGTAGATATCATGAAATTTACTTAAGAATTAATTGTTAAGGATGCATGTAAGCGTTTCGATTTAGGAATAAACGGTTAATGATCAACATATGAGCTTAGATATAGATACAAATGGCTAAGAGCATATATGAAGGTTTAGAAACTGCAACAAACTGTTAGGGATATATATAATAGTATAGATGCAGGTGTAAGCAGTTACGAATACAAATATACAGTTTCATACCAGTGGATGATTCAAGACAAAACATCTCAGAATTCTTGACAGCGACCATGGAAGCGAGCACATGTAGGCTTGAGTGCGCATGCTTCCTTCACGAACTCTGACACTACCATCTCATACCCACACCCTCCATCGACCACAAAAACAGAAGGTCTTCTTTATGAATCAACATGCGGTTAGAAAAAAAATTCTCTCTTGAAAGAGATAAAGTACATATCATACTAGTACGCGTTGCTTTTCAAGGAAGAAGAAACGCGAATGCATTTTTTTCGACAATGTATAAACCATTTAAATAAATCATGCGATGATAAATTCCTATTTTCAGGAAATTCAAATAAAGTGACTATACGAGAAATTTCATCAAAATTTCATCGAATACTTTTAAGGATAATAATAAAAAAAACTCTTCTAATTAAAACAAGAATATAGAAATAAAGTTAAAGTCTAGCGTAGGACTGGGTTGGGTTGGGTCAACTCAAGTCAAGTCAAGCCAAGGTAGAATATATATCTATATGTACATGTGAAATATATGATTCAATGTTGGGTTGGGTTGGATCGAGTCATAAAATGAAACTCATTATGGTATGAAATATGCATCGAAAAGAAGTTTAAGTTAGGTTTGCGTTGGATCTGTGTATGCATCTGAATGAGAAGAAGCAGCTAACGTCCACACCCACACACCCAACCCAAAATGGAATCATATGTTGTACATATGCATATATATTCTTACTTGACCCAACTCAACCCCGCTCGATCCCACCGAACCGAACCCAACAAGACTCAATCCAACTCAACCCGACCCATTCCCACATCCACTCACATCCACACTCGGCATTGTCACATAAATGTTGTTCGCTGCAATCTCCTGCAATTTAGACGTAGGCAACTTTGAATTTCCTGAAAGTGGAATTTACCATGTCCTCAGATTTTTAATTGCAATAAAAATAATTTAATCAGCTTTCTTCCGATCTTTTTGCGTGGATTACATATCGTTGAAGAAATTTCTTCGCATTAATTCTTCTTGCTTGAAAAGCAGTGTGTATTATCACGATTTGTAATTAAATAGTTTATTACCTTCAAGGAAAAAATTTTCTTTCCAACTACATGCTGATTTTCCGCGAAGCCCTTGCAAAACCATGGTCGATGAAAAATCATTGTCTGTCGGTTGTCGCAACAAAACAACGGAATATAAAATCTCGATTCATTAAACAAATCAAAGCACAAAACATTTCACAATTTCAGATAGCAGTAATCGTGGCGAGACGCTTGATAACAGCAGAGACATGATTTTTATTCTTTTAGGTAATTCTTTTACCATATCTTTGATGGAATTGCATAGACATGGTTTTGGAATTTTTGTTGCAGGTTCTTTCTTACTAGTTTTAGTTCACGCAGCTCTATTCTCTTCCGGAATATACATTGTGAACGACATTGATGACTCGGTGCCGATTTCCACATATGTTTCTGTAACAAACCCGATGATCACTACCGAAAAATTATTTGATGAAAATTCCAGCTCCATTTATAATGCTAGCACTGTATCAACTTATATAGCGAAAACGACGTCGAGTGAACATTTGATGCATGATTTTCTAGCAAAAGAGCCAAAAGTTGTTACCACTTCTACTTCATCTTATAACAGCGAAGAACATTCGCAAATGACTTCGTAGATCGTTTCAATATTTCTCTTATCATTTATCTGATGCTAGTTTTGAACATCATCATTTCTGAACTGCTCATCACAAGTTCCAGTTCAGGTTCATTGTCTGGTGGCCAGATTGCTGGCATAAGTATTCCTATCCTTATTCTAATTGTTTGTGTCGGTTTATTAGGATGCTGCAAGAGTGGCCGTTGGGAAACGCGCCGTGTTTGGGTCGAGCACTAAACATTTCATTATATTTTGTCTGGACGTTGAATTAGACCTGATGTGAATATTGTAACATTCTAAGCTTATGTTTGGTGCGTTGTCGTTTGTTTTTGCTCCTCCATTTTATCCATTCTTTGTGTATTATTTTTTTTACCTACCTTTATCACCTTTTGTCTTTTCCTTCCTTCTTCCGTAACTATGTATTGATGTCACAGATAAATCTAATTTTGTTTCCCTTTTGCTTTAGAATATAAATGAAATGACTGTTCCTCAAACAACACTTCTGAGCCGAGATACTTTCACCCAAAGGCCTTTCTGCGTGTGGATGAGGTCTAACGAGGGAACCACCCGATGTGATAAAAAGCTTTTCGGTCAGGAATATGATGGTTAGGTAGGGCATAGCTAGGAGTGATAAATCCCAAATTAGTTCGGGCACAAGTTGCTTCTAGCGGAAGTTATGAAATGTGAAATTTAGGCATAAAAATGAATCAGTGAAGGTTTTCTCCACTATTGTAAGGACAAAATATAGTGTTGTTCGGACCGATTATGGGGTTTGTAGGGATCCTCTTTCATATGGCTCGAACAACACCATGTTTTGTCCATATAATAGTAGAGTGACTTTTTTCTATAGCTCATAGAAAACGGCGTTTTCTACCAATCAGCAAAAAAATTCACTCTACTATTATACGGACGGAACATAGGGTTATTCGGGCCATATGAAAGAGCATCCTTGATAACCCCCAGATTGGCCCGAACAACA